ACTTTGACTTATTTGATTATATTTGGTATTTGATTATACCAAATATATTCCTATTTAGTATATACATTAAATACTTACTAAAGTATTTATTTTTTTTATTTGTCAAAGTTAAGTATAGATTTGTTTATATTATCAAATCATAAAAAAATATTAAATCTATATTGTAAAAAAAAAATCATATAATTTTATAACAATTCTACTACACTATTTAACAGCATTTCTTTTTTATTATATAATAAAATAATAATTAAATATTATATGGTGAACAAAAATAAGTAAAACTGTTACTTTCTCTTATATCAAAGGATAAATTTATATGCTAAAATTAAATTTTTATTAGTATAAATATTTTAGTGAGATAATATATTAATTATTTTACAAGCTAGCCCTAACATGCTCATATTTAATGTTTTAAAAGATGTAGAAAAAATACTTATAATAACTCTATTGTTTTTTAGACTTAAAGGTTGATTAAAAGAGGTAAAAATTCCTAATTTTTTAGACTTAAACGTTGATTAACAACATAGATTGAGAGTTTATATTTAGTAAAATTTCTAATTGTAATAAAAAAATTAATTTTTGCTATATTTTAGAATATCTTTAAATTTATTATAAGAAAAAAAGAAAAAAAAAACTACAATGAAAAAAACAAGTCAGCTATATATCAATTTGTTGTACTCCTTAAATCACATTCACAATTTAGAAAAAGGAAACTCATTGATTAAAATATTATTTTGTCAGTAGTCTTAATGTACAAGAGACTTTAAGACTCTACTTGAATATTATAAAACTTTTATTGAACATTGTACAATTTTTTTGCGTATTATAAACTTTTATTAAATATTGCATCTTATAATATAATATTCTCCAAATAAATATATCTCGTGCTTTGCACGAGTACTATATATATCCCGTACATTTTTCTTTATTAATGTATATAATTATAAACCTGGATAAATAGCAAATTGTGCACCCCGTGCATCTTACGGGCTCTGTACTAGTATGTTAATGAGCGTGTTGGAGGAATTGAAAATTACCTCAATAAAACTTAAACGCGCCCTACCAAAGTCCGATTTTAGCTCAAAAAACGAAAAGTGGGAAAGTAATGAAAATCAAGCTTACTAAAAGTAAAATGTATGTAGTGTTTACCAACACAACAGATACAGAACACCAGTCTTATCCCCTTTCCTCTCGCTGCGAAGTGCTGCAACTGAGTGGGAAAAGAGTACAACTCTTATCCATAGCTATGGCGTTAAACTGCGCCATTTCTTCCTCGATGCTGTTCGCGAAGCCCTCCGACAAGTCTTTCTCCTCCTCCCTCAAGAAAACGCCTTTCCTCGGAATCTCACTCGCCAACAACACTTCACCCAAACCGCCCATTCAATTGAAGGTGTCAAAGATTTGCTGTCAAGAGAAAGCCGCTCTCGTTCCAGCTGGACAGCAATGGATGTTTGACGACCTGACCGGACCTGTAAGCTTGTGACCGTTGTTTGCCCAAAATGATTTTTTTTTTCCCGGTTTTTGCTGTTCAGGTTTTCTTGTTCTACTTTGTTTCTGGTGAAATTCCAGTAGCCACTGGCTATTCTGTAATTTGAATGTTGAGAATCATGTAGGGGTTGCTTGTTTATTTTCCTTTTTGTGCCTCAATTAAAATTGATAAAGTTTGCTGGAGTGTGAGTAAGTTGGTATTTTGCTGATATGGGTTATAATCCTATATTCCATTTGATGACAATGAAAATTTCATTTTGATGGAGACTTTGGGATGATAACCATGGATTAAGATCCAAGAGCAAGTAAATTGGGCTTTTAGTTGGTTAGGTGTGTTGGCTAAAGGAATCTACTCCACAATAGAAAAAACCAAATATCTACTTTTTTCCTTCGCTAGTGTGTTGAGAAGTATGGGAGATTGATCCCAACCGGTGTATAAGCTGTGCAACATTTTTTTTTCTTGTGGTGAAACGATTGTGTAGGATTTTTTATTTTGATTGTATATCATCGAAAAATGTTGTGACAGAAAGAAGCACTTCACTCTGAACTTAACCTATACTGTTTATCTTACCAGAAAGAGTCTTTATTTTGTGATAAGAGATATCTATAGGATACATTTATTAAAGAGCAAGAGCTATGATGACTATACGCTTAATTTGTTTGTTTTTAAAATTGGTTGTAAGGGATTGATTGCCAAATACAGTATGCCAAATTTTGACATTGGGTTGCAATTATTTGGTTATCTTCCTTTTGGATGAAGCCTACTGTTTTTTAGTGCAATTTGCCTATATAGCTTGTTAATATTCACCCCGAAAGTTGTTTTGCCTGACAGACACAAATTATGTTCAGTCCATTTTTGTACTTTTTTTTTACGTGTCTTTGACTTGCTTAAACTCTTAAGTGCTTGCATGCACATATATATGTTGCTTATCTATCCCCTTGCAATTAAGTTAAGATCTTGCAGTTTACTTAGAATTTTTCAAATGTCAGGATGTTTGGAATAAAACATGGTATCCCAAAGCTGCAGACCATCTTCCTAAGGATAAGAAATGGTATGTAGTGGATGCCACTGACAAGATTCTTGGAAGACTGGCTTCGACAATAGCTATTTACATCAGGGGAAAGAATCTGGCAACATTCACTCCTAGTGTGGACATGGGAGCATTTGTTATTGTGGTATGGTGACATGAGAAATTGACATATTTCTTTTCACTACACTGTATCTTAATTGGCGTTTACCTCCCTGGACTATAGGACTATCCCAAATAGTTAATGGGTTTAAAAAATTTAAAACAAATAGCCTTACGGAAAATCTTCTGTTTAACTCGTTTTATGCCACGATGCCCTCTTCTTTTGAATTTAAATAAAAAACATACGGAGAATGTAAAAGGTATCTGCTAATGTATGTAAGCAAACGTCATAAAACTTGATCAGAGCGAAAAGGATGTTTTTCTTGAAAAGTATAAGAAATTGTTCTACTTCTAGCAATGGTCTTCATAGTTACATCAATATGTTGCTCCAATTATATTACTTGGTTATTTGGGAGCATTCCTTGATTTAACCTGAGTTCTAGAGAACAATAAACAGTTTTAGCATCGAAATTTGGTTATGTGGTGTTGAAACAGGTCAATGCTGAGAAGATTGCTGTGTCTGGAAAGAAGAGGATACAGAAACTCTACAGGAGGCACTCGGGAAGGCCAGGTGGGATGAAAGTTGAAACCTTTGATCAGCTTCAGAAGAGAATTCCTGAAAGAATTATCGAGCATGCAGTTCGTGGGATGCTTCCCAAAGGACGGGTGAGTTTCTTCTTCTAAGTGTAAAAATATCTGATCTCTTGTTAATCTGAACATTGTACAGAATAGTAAAACCTTTTTCTACCTGCTAAAATGAGATGGTATGATTAAGCAAATTTTTCCACTGATTTGCAGCTCGGGAGGACATTGTTTACCCATCTCAAGGTTTATGCTGGTCCGGACCACCCTCATCAGGCCCAAAAACCCATTGAGTTGCCCTTAAGGGACAAAAGGATACAAAAGCAGCCATAAGATATTTTGATGTGTTTCGATCAGGAATCAGCTAAGCATCAACTTCTACAGTTGTTCATATGTTTCCGGCCGCTGACTATCTATTCTAAAACTTCAAACACATCAATAGTTGATTCACCACTTTTTGGAGACATTTAATTTGAGTCAGAATTATGATTCCTGTCAAGCTCCTCTTTGTTAAATTGTATGTTGTAATGTTTGTATGTTCAATCATTTTCAATCAGTCTATTTTCGCTCTCTTTGTTCTTTATTTTCTTGAGGTCAGGTTAGTCCTATGCTTTTGTTGGTGATATAAAGATTTTGCTAGATATGCCAGACCTTGTGTCAAGTATTACTGATCAATAGTGAAATCTAATGTACCCTTCGAGGTTTAGCCTTAACTACCAGAGAAAATTAGAAATACCTCTCGATATTTGTTTCTCATTCACAGCTTGCACTTTCAAGGGGTTTATAAAACTCATAATACGATGTTTGTAACATGATCAACTGTAAGATAACTGAATCTTGCTTCCTCTTATTCATGCCATTGTACATTTTTCTCCAAGAACTAGTTCAAATTCAGTTAGTTTTACACCTGATGACTTTGAAAGAAGAAGATTTGGGGATATCAACATCACTGATTCTTGAAAAACAAAATTTAGATCTCATGCCAAAAACACAAGTTCCTTCTTATTCTTCCTTTCCTCGCACAATAACACGCTTAAAGAGTAACCACATTTTTCAATTCCGTAGAAGAATTGTATACGTGAGTTGATTCCAGGTATCCGGCACACCTGCAAGACACCAGTGGCTGCAGTCGAGTTGTCCTCCGCCGGAATATATCGACGGGTGCCCGTCTTTTCTCAGCTGAGTCATCAAAACTATGTCGAGCAAAAACGCAGGTCTTTTCATCTTGTTCAGCACGCTTTTCACCACTTCATCTCCTTGAGGTCTCGTGCCCGGATAATTTGGCCCCTCCACAGGTTTCGTTTGTCCCTTGCAATCTTGCACCCAAGGTTCGCCCCATTCTGCCCCACTGCCACACACAAATAACAAATAAAATAGTTTCGACTGGCAAAACAACAAAAGCAACATACATGTGCTCTTAACTTGTGGAATTATCTCAGTTCGCTTTTGTTTTCAATGTGTGTTTCAAATCTAAACTCCAAGTTCGAAAATTTTCTGCATTAGTTTACTTACTGATAATGCACCATGGAAATTCCCTGGAAAAAGACATAAGTTTTGGTCTGATCAATGTTGGAGTCTACCCAGTTAGCCCAAGTAGTCAGAGCTATCTTGTATGCTTCCATTACATTCATATCCATGTCTTTCACTGTCCGGCCACCAATCTGGTAGCCGTCCCATCTGGAAAAACGACACAATCGCAAAATCGAGTAATAAATATCCTCGTTCTCTAGAGAAATCAAGAAACTGAACTAAAATCTGAAAGCGGATAATACTAACTCACGTTTTGTACTTTCCCGTGTGGAGCCACCAATGGTAACTGTTGAAGACCAACAAATCGACACCCTTCCACAGTTCACTTCCACTGAGTGAGTCGAGCCATAGCTTTCGGTTCACAAGGCTCACCAAGAACCCGTTCTTCATGTACATGATCGATGTTCCATACGCCTTCATAAGCACGCGAACTTTAGTAGTTTTACTTTTTTTTTTTGTTTTTGTATTTATGGGTAAAAAGTAGTAAAAAGAACACGAACTTACGGGGAAGAAGAGAGTTGTGATTCGGCCGCGTGATGTTATCGTGTAATTTTGGTTCGGATCAGCCGCGTGAAGCATGCACGCTAGCGACTGCCACTGGCTGTTACTCAGCGAGTCCCCGACGAACATTACCTTTTTGCCCTTGTACCTTTCCAGAAATCCCTTGCCATCAAACCTGCCATTTTTTGAATCCTAAATCAGATTCTGAAGGAAAATCCCATTTCCATTTATGGACTAGCGCAATAAATTCACAGTCGCAAGCACAACTCATTAGTAAAGGCGGTATATGGATTTGCGCAATAATTTCACACTCACTTGCAATAAATTACCCAAATACGAAACACAATTCATTAGTAAAAGCGGCAGCATCTTACCGGGGAAGGTCGCAGCCGGCCGGCCGCCAGCTGTAGCTAAGGTACGCCTTGTCGGGGCGGCCGTTTTTGAGACAGTCGAGGGCGGAGTCGGCGAAAGGGCATTGGGCGGCGGAGGAATTGTAGGGGGGAGGGGTAGAATCGTCAAAAACCCAGCTGCCGTTGAAAATGTCACAGCTGCTGCCTTCTGATGGTGTTGGTGAGAGGGAAATTAGAAGAAAGGAGGCCAATAAGAGATGGCCACCGCGAAAAGGATTTGAACCCATTTTGGTGAGTGAAATTGGTGTGAAAATTGGGTTATTTATTTATTATTGAGTAAAAGGTCATTGAGTGAAAGTATTGGCCCATATTCAATTTTGAGGCCAAGGTGTGAAATTTGTGGAAGCCCACTCGCGAAGGAAAAGCGGGAGTAATTGAAAAGGACGTTTTTGATTTACATGCATATCTTGTTCTTCACACTCTATGCTAAATTGCAATTTTGGTTTTATTATAAATTTCTAATATTACTTAATGCAAGCTCAAAATCCCACTCAAACTTAATTCAATCAATTTTTTCAAAATTAATTATAGTTAACTAAAAAAATCAATCAAAACAAAAAAAGATTTATAAATTTGCACTTCATAATTGCTACATTCATAATTTAGTAGGATTAAATTTGCAATTTAGCCATCTTTTCTTTATATGTGTGGTAATTTTGGTATCAACTTGTCTTTTGGAGCGCAAAATTATTTTTAGTAGTAATGTTTATTTACTGCAACTTATATTTCGTTAGTTATAACGTTGTGTAATTTTACTTATATGTATTTATTGCAAAACATAGTTTCTTAGTTATAATTATAATGTTGTGTAATTTTACTCGAGCATAAGATATCATTCTACACAAAAATATAAATTTATAATACAAATTTATAAAAATTAATTCCTTTTATAATACAAATTGGTAAAAGTTATATGGCATTTATAATACAAATTTTCCACAGGTGATTTGTTTTCATCCATTTCTTTTTTGCGTTATTTATATTTTTTATTTCCTTTATTTTATTTTTGTTTTGCAACTTTACTATACACCCCAATTAATAACGTATGCTAGATGTTATATTTACTTAGGAATGCTATATGTTATACGGCTTAGATTAATAGAAATTGCATTTCAATCTTGTTTAATATTTTAGTAATCACTAAATAAAATGTCTTAACAAATTAAATAATATATATTATTATATCTAATTAAATTTTATAAATTATAAATTTATAATATAAATAATTAAATGTGTACAAAATAATATATATAATTAAACTATATTTTAACATTAAAATTAATTCAAAATAATAAGAATAAAATAGAATACTTATGCAATAAATGTAGCGACAACAGTTGAAGTTAAAATTTAATTTTTACTACGTCACACACTCTAGAATAGAGTAAAGTATACAATTGAAATAATGGTTGGAAATGATTTTAAATGCACAGAAATTTCAACATTAAAGTACCAAAGAAAACTAATATACACGATACTATTTTGTATTTATGTGATCAAAATTGCAAGTAAACCTAAGGGGTTTTCAAAGCAAGATGGACAAAGTATTGGTAACATAATTGATAATCAATATTAGGATTAACCAAAAAAAAAGAAAAATTGAATGATTATATATCTGGAAATATTTCTCTATATAAAATTTCCAAGGCTAGTCGAATTTGTTGGCATCACAGGAGGCCCACTCTTGATGAAGACCACTATTTTGCTGACAACATATATGAAGTGGCCAATTTGTTGGGCCTTAATCAACTTTGGTTCCATTAACCATAACCTACACGTCATAACTCATAAGATAGTTGTTTTAGATAAATTGATATCTAAGAAGATTATTGTTTTAGATAACTAATAGTAACTCAAAAAACTTTCACGAAGTATATTTTTTCTTTTTTAAATTTGCTTTTACTCCAGATGAATTATCTCATCATATATAGTTAACAGTAAAATATCAATAATTATTTCAAGGATAAGAACTCATTCAATTGAATGTGGATATGAACTCATTTAATGGAAATGAACTCATTAATTGAATGTTTGATAGGACACGGTGGGTAGAAATTGAAAGATTAATATGATCAGTGAGAAATCATATTAGAGAGACATAATAGAACCCACGTTTTTAATTATACCTTATATATCACTTATATTATAATATATAATACTACTTGTGAGTTGCTACACATCATTTATACAGGGAAATAGGCCTAACTTGTAAGTCTAGTGGGCTACTCCTCCTACTACCGATTGGTATTGTGATGGAATTTCACTTGGGCTTCATCTAGGCTCACCCTGTTATGATGCGCTTCACGTGTGTGGGACTATTGGGCTTGGGATTCGTATGAAAGGACTTGAGCTTAGGGACTCACAAGTGAGCGGGCGGACGTATTAAAATATAATACCACTTGTGACTAGTTGGATTTCAGCTTCATATGAGGCTTGGGCTTCGTATGAAGGACTTGAGCTTTGTATGAAGGATATGGGCTTGGACTTTGTATGAAGGACTCACAAGTGATGAAACTTCACTTGAGCTTTATCTAGGCTCACCCTGTTATAGTGCACTTCACGTGCGTGAGACCGCACCCGTTTTCCCCGGTTCATACAATTTGCACAAGCATAAAATGAAGGTTATCTATTTATGTTATATACAATCAATTTTCATTTAGTTTTTTTTTCTACTTGATTATCAATAAACTCGAAGACAAGCAATCACAAATGGTGTTTTCTAATTATTTAACCTGTCAGTGTTTTAAAGGAAGATGAAAATGATTTATAGCTTCATTTCAATTGAAGTTCATAAAACAATCAATAATTTTCAAAAGAAATGAACGAGATAAAGATAATTGTAAAAAACAATTAGTGAAAAAGCATTCTGCCTATCATCAGTTTAACACAAGAGAATAAGTGACGCATTTACATCATTTGCATTGTTATCGGTAATATTCAGTATAACACGTATTCGGATGTTAATCAAAAAAACTTATTTTTTTTTTAAATTTTAAAATACATCCTTCAAATTACATTATTGATTTATAAAATGACTCTGGCTCATAACACTTGCTTGACCTATATCAACCTATTTTGTTAACTCTATCATATAAAAATTTGGTAGATAAATTTATTTAATTGATAAATAATAATTTATTATTTCCAATTAGAATTAACAAATAATTCAATTTTTATTTATAAAAACATGCAAATATTTATTTTATGTATACAATATGCATGCCACAGAATTATTCAACATGTGACTAATTGGATATAAGAATTTGAACAAATAAAAAAAATAAAAACTATAACAAATAAAAAAATAAATTAATTTCTAAATATATTTATAATTTAAAAAATTGCATAATATAAAAGTATCCATACAATAAAAACAAACCGTAACCATTTGGTTAATGGTAAGAATGCAATGCCAAAATAAAAATGGTAGCCTTCTTTTAGACTTGTCAAAACGGGCTGAGGCCCGCGGGCCGGCCCGCCCCGCCCCGCCAAAAGAATGGGTTGGGCTGAGTTATTAGAGGCCCGCAGGGGAGCGGGCCTAAACGGGCTAGCCCGCGCGGGCCGCGGGCTTTGGCGGGGCGGGCCTAGCGGGCCGCGGGCTGGCCCGCCTTCTTTAAAAAATATATTAATATATATCACATAGACTAATTTCTTGAAGCCCAACACAGAAAAATAATAATAATAATAATAGAAGCCCACTCAACAATTGTTTATTCAAATGATGAAGTCCAAGCCCATTAACCAAAAAAAAGGAAAATTGAGAGGGATGAAGGAATCGGGCAGTGCCGCAGTAGTGCACAATCAATGAGAAGGGTCTGAATCAATGTTACCTAATTTCATTCTTCTCAATTCTCAATTTCTCATCTTTCAATAAAAAATTCGCCCGAAGATATATCCTCATCTCTCAATCAGAAGGTCACCGGGATTGATGCGTGGCTCGCCGGCAGCGCTCGACTGCAGCAGGTAGCTCTCCACCACCCGCTACCGACGGCGGCGAACTGAGGGATTAGGAAACATCACCGCCTGCGTCCAGCGTCCGTCCTTCTCCGCCCGATTCGCTCATATCCTCCGTACGCACACCCTGCTGCTCAATCATCCTCACAGTCCCTCAATTGGGCTTAGCCAAAAAACTTGTAATGAACTCCAACCTGCAGGCTGCATTGTTTGGGTCATAATTTGTACATCTATATATATTGAAAAAGAGAGGTCAATAAATCATTTGTGGAAACTTTTAAAAAATTGGTCAACAACCCTATTGACTTTCCATTTGTAGAAACTAATTTAAAAATCCTTTCAAAATATATGGTTTTTTTTTCCTGTTTTTTAGGGATGGATATACCTTTAACGTGATAAGATATATACATGTGATTGCACATTTTGTTGTTGCATCCCAAAAATCATGGTATTTAAAATCTATCCAAATACAATCCATAATTATCTTATCACTTTTGTTAATAAAAAATTGTATAAAAGGATATTCACTACCACCATTACAACTCATCATTCACGAGTTCAGAGAAAAAAAAAATATAGAGAATAATTTTTCATCTCATATACAATATAATGCTTCCAAGTTGGGGTAAACTTGATATATAATGCTTCCAGGTACGTTAACAAAAGAAACAAACCTTTTTTTGCGTCTGAGAGCAGTCCGCATTATTGAAACCCATCACGAACGGGAGAGCTATAATGCATTTTCATGATGAACAGGTAATATTTACCTTTTTTATTTCAATTTTATATAATTTAGAAAATTATTTTAATTAATATTTATAACAAACATTTTTTGCGTCTGAGAGCAGTCCGCATTATTGAAACCATCACGAACAGGAGAGTTGTAAAGCATTTTCATGATGAACAGGTAATATTTACTTTTGTTATTTCAATTTTATATAATTTAGAAAATTATTTTAATTAATATTTATAACAAAGCATTATTGAAACCATCACGAACAGGAGAGTTGTAACGCATTTTCATGATGAACAGGTAATATTTACCTTTGTTATTTCAATTTTATATAATTTAAAAAATTATTTTAATTAATATTTATAACAAACTTTTTTTGCGTCTGAGAGCAGTCCGCATTATTGAAACTCATCACGAGCAGGCTGGGGTACACTTGATATATAATGCTTCCAGACTGGGGTACGTTAACAAAAGAAACAAACCTTTTTTTCGTCTGAGAGCAGTCCGCATTATTGAAACCCACGAGAGAGCTATAACGCATTTTCATGATGAACATGTAATATTTACCTTTGTTATTTCAATTTTATATAATTTAGAAAATTATTTTAATTAATATTTATAACAAACCTTTTGAACAGGTAATATTTACCTTTGTTATTTCAATTTTATATAATTTAGAAAATTATTTTAATTAATATTTATAACAAACCTTTTTTGCGTCTGATAGCAGTCCGCATTATTGAAACCCATCACGAACGGGAGAGCAGTCGGCATTATTGAAACCCATCACGAACGGGAGAGCTGTAATACATTTTCATGATGAACAGGTAATATTTACCTTTATTATTTCAATTTTATATAATTTAGAAAATTATTTTAATTAATATTTATAACAAACATTTTTTTGCGTCTGAGAGCAGTCCGCATTATTGAAACCAAGCCGTCCGCATTATTCAAACCCATCACGAATGGAGAGCTGTAACGCATTTTCATGATGAACAGATAATATTTACCTTTGTTATTTCAATTTTATATAATTTAGAAAATTATTTTAATTAATATTTATAACAAACCTTTTCTGTGTCTGAGAGCAGTCCGCATTATTGAAACCCATCACGAACGAGAGAGCTGTAACGCATTTTCACGATGAACAGGTAATATTTACCTTTGTTATTTTAATTTTATATAATTTAGAAAATTATTTTAATTAATATTTATAAATTTGTATCGTAGGTGCTTTCATTAAATGCATAATACATTATCCGAATATGAGAGCAACAAACTTTATATAAACTGAGAGCAGTCTAATTTTTGTAAAATATGTAAACTTTAAACGTATTTTATATATAAAATTTTATATACTTTTAAACATGTTAGTTGGGCAAATTTTAAGGATATATATAT